GGAAGGCAGTTTGGTGTTTCCTTAAAAAGCAAACACAGAAACTCCATATGACCCAGCTATTGCACTACTAGGAATAGACTCTAAGGAAATTGGAACAGAAACACAAATGGAGATTTGTACACCAATGTTCACGGCGACGTTATTCACCATCACAAGAGCATGGAAACCACTCAAATGTCCAATCAGAACCAAACTGATTGGGAAATTATGGTACATTCACACAACGGAATACTATGTAGCATACAGGAGCAATGATTTTGTAAATTATTACTTAACCTGGGAGTAACAGAAGAGCTGAGTGAATGAACTCAGTACCACAAGAACAAATACTGTGTAAAACATTACTGCAGAATGAGTATGAGGATTCAAGGTGGGGGTGGGGGTATGGGTGTGGAAGCAGAGTGGTGAGGATTTGCAGGGATGGGGAGATTAATAGGCTTCATAGTTTTATGGGGAGGTGAGGGAAATGGGAAGGATCTGGTGTGAAAAACAATGTATTTGAATTTTATAAATAACCTAGCATTAAAAATGTAAAGTAGAATGTAAATGGATGATTGTATGAAACACAATGTAAATAAAAGACTGTATAAAATGACGTATATGAATGAAACATACTGTAAAGGTATTATTATATGAAAATCAATTAAAATATTTAAAAAACAACTGTGTATTTAAAGGAATTTGAAAACCTGAGTAAACTTATTTGACTATTTTTAACTAAGAATTGTGTTAGACTTTGACATCTCCTTGTTTAATTATGGTTGATTATTTTCAAGATCATTGAACTACTAAATAAACTAATAAAAAATCACTATGTCTGTTCAGTAGAAACTGACTCACTGCTGACCCTCTAGTTAGTTTGCAGAGGCTGTAAATCTCAGGGGAAGACATTGCCCATATTTCTTCCACAGAGCAGTTGGTGGATTCAAACCATGCACCTTTGGTTGGCAGTGCAATTCCATACCCATTTGTTGATGTTAGGTACCACTGAGTTAACTCACATTGACTTCATGTACAACAGACCTGAACCCTGTCCTGTCCTATGCCATCCACATAATTTCTGACACACTTGAGCCCATTGCTGCAGTCACTGTGCCAATCTATCTCACTGAGGGTCCTTCCTCATTTTGTGGACTTTCCACCTTTCCAAGCACTAGGTCCCCTTCTAAGGAATAACCTCTCTTATCAACATGCTCAAAGTATGTGAGACAAAGCTTTGTCATTTTTGCCTCCAAGGAGCACTTTGAGAACAGCACCTTCTCTAAGATACAGTTGTTTGTTCTTTCAGCAATCCATGAGGTATTTAGTATTCTTCTCCAACACCACAGCTCATAGGGATCAATTCTTCTTCTGTCATCCTTATTCACTGTCTAACTCTCAGATTCACAGAAAATGACTGAAAAGACCATGGCATGAAGCAGGCACAAACTTAGTCTTTGAAATGACATCAGTACTCCTCATTCATTTGAAGAAGTTCCTGATAGCAGACTTCCCCACTGCAATATGTCTTCTGGTCGCCTGACTGCTAATACCAAGGGTGTTGACTATGGATCCAAATAAGATGAAATTATTGACATTTTCAGTCTTTTCATTATCTCTCATGATGTTTCCTATAGGTCTAGTGGTGAGAACTTTTGTTTTCTGGAGAGGGTGAAACCAAGTTTCTCATTGGAGGAAGGGATTTTGAAGCTCCCATTCACATACTTTGGGCATGTGACCAGTAGGTACCAACCCTTGGAGAGGACGTCATGCTTGGAAGGGCAGAGGAACAGCACAGGAGAGGAAGGAAGACACAGGATGAGATGGATTGACACAGTAATTGGGGTAAGGAGGGCAGATGTGTTGGAGACAATGAGACTGGCTTAGAATAGGGCAGGGTTCAGAGCTATTGTATATAGGGTTGCTATGATTCACAGATGACTCAATGGCACATAACAACAGCAACAACAATGTTGAGATGTAATCGATATTGAACTTTCTGCAAGCAAGATTGTGTCATTTGCATAATGCAGGTTGTTGATGAGTCTTCCTCCTATCCTGACACTACATTTTCCTTAAAAGAGCTCCTCTTCTCAAGTTGTTTACTCAACATATAGACTGAATAGTATGGAGGAAGGATACATACACCTGACATACACCTTTCTTAATTTTAAACCATGAAGTGTTTATTCCCTTGCTTTGTTCAGACAAGTGTGATGGGATTCCAATTCTTTTCAATGTTACCCATAATCTGTTATGATTTACATAGTCAAATGTCTTTGCCTAGTAAATAAAGCACAAACAGATATTCTGGTAGTCTCTGCTTTCAACGAGGATGTATCTGACATGAACAATGATATCCTCAGGGCCATGGCCTCTTGACTCATCTCATTCAAAGTATGCTGCTATCAAAGATAAGACCAGCTAAAAGAAAATAAAAATTCTAGACTTATGTAATTTATGATCACCAGTAGAAAAATATTAAATAAAAACTTTAAATTCTTTGTTTGACCAAATAAAGACAAAAATCCAAACAAAGTTCTAGCAAGTCAAAGATATTTAATATTAAATACTTTTTGGTATCAGTAAACAAAAAGAAAAAAACCATCTGATCCTCTCAAGAGCTGCTGAAAATATTTCAATAAAATAAGTACTAATTTACTTTTTTAAAAAGAAAATTCATGGCAGGCTGCCCTCGGCCCCCAGCTCGGGGTGAGCCATCGCGGCCCTCTGTCCGGGGCGGGCTGCCCTTGGCCCTCTGCCTGGGGCAGGCTGCCCTCGGCCCTCGGCTCGGGGTGAGCCGTTGCGGCCCTCAGGGTGAGCTCCTCAGTCCCCAGTCTGTGCCATTGTCCCCAGATTGACCCCTGGGTGGGGAAGGAGAAAAAAAAAGAATGCCTAGGGTATCCAATGTTACCTAGGCCACCTTCTGCCACCCTCCCCCCCCCCAGTAAACCTGAAAGCAACACCCTCAAAGCCCTTCTATTTGTAACTCACAAGTTTGTTCTCTCTAGGTTTGCTCCCTTTCCTATAGGTAACCTTAACTCTGAGTTTTACTCCAGAATTGACCCTGAACCCAGTGCCAGTGACAAAAAGGAAATACAACTGACAGCTAAGGAAGCAAAGGAGGATGGAGCCTCTGGGTTCAACCAGCCATCCCCACTGGACCCACATGGGAAAACACTTTGCAGTCCAGAGGGGAGCAAATGACAGGAAAATATCTTCTAACAGAGCAAGAAGGCAAGCAGCTTTAACCCAAGACCACCAGTAAGGTGATAAAGCATCCTCCGTTCCCCCCTTTATATCTACACGCCTGTTCAGCATGAAGAAGCCAGAGAGTCGGCATCCAATTCCCAAATCAATAAGACAGTTGGTTTAATTACCATTGGAAAATGCTTGTCATTCCTCTGTAGTATCTGGTCCCCTCTGGACCCTCATCATTTCCTTCACCTGCTCCCCCCACCGACCAAGCTGTGCAGCTCTGCAACTGCATCCTGGCTCATCCTCACCCTTCTGCCCCCACCCCTCACCTCCTTGTACCCCCTATATGTTTTTCCCAATAAAAAAAAATTTTAAAAAAACAAAAAAAAATTCATGAGATCAGATATAAAAAGTAACTTTCTTAATGTAATATAAGCAAGACATCAGTTAGAAACCTTCAAAGAGGCCCCATTCTCAATAGTGAACCATTAAAATAAAATTCAGTAAAGGGAAATCTAGGACATTTTCTACTGAAATTCCCAAACCATACAATAAGGAAAAGAAACAAAAGATACCATATCGGAAAGAAAGAGATGAAATAAGCTTCCTTTGAAGACAATATGATTTCCTACAATGGCCCAGTGGTAAGGAGCTGTGCTGACATCCCTAAGGCACGTGGTTTGGATCCACCAGTTGATCTGCAGACGAAAAATGGGCAGTCTCCTCTCATGCAATTAACTGCCTCTTATGACCACTAGAGAGTCAGCTATGAGTCAGTTCTGACTCGAGTACACACAACAATATACAGAACTCTACTGTCAAGGACCTCCAAAGTGTTAAAGTGCAAAAATATCAGTTTAAAGACTCGGATGTGCCTGATCTAAGCCAAGGTTTTATCAATTGCTTCCTATGTATCTGAAAGGTGGACAATGAACAAAAACAGTCAAAGAAGAACTGATGCCTTTGAACTGCAGTGTTAGAGTGCTAAGTACCCCATATACTGCCAAAAAGATAAACAAGTCTGTCTTAGAGAAAGTACAACTTGAGTGCTCCTTAGAAGCAAAAGTGATGAAACTTTGTCTCATATACTTTGAGTATGTTGTCAGGAAGAGCCAATCTTTGGAAAAAAGACATCATGCTGGGAAAGATGGAGGGTCAGAAAAAGAGAGGAAGACAATCAACAAGATGAACTGACACAGTGACTGTAACAACAGGCTGCAGCATGTCAGAGATGGTACTGCAGGACAGGATAAGGTTCAGATTTATTGTTCCTTTGGCTGCTATGAATCAAGGTTGATAGCACCTAACAACAACAATAAAGTATAAATGTCAAAACAATAAACTGTCAGACCATTTTAAAAATTGAGTTTTATAATCCATGTGCAAAAATCAATAGCTATGGTAAATTGGAAAATGTAACTAGAGATATTATATCTTTAACAGTCATAAAAATTCTAAAATATTCATATATAAACTTAGAAAGAAAGCATAATGCCTTTATGGATAAAGCCATAATAATTAATGATTTGAAAATAATGTGAAAAAGCTCCCCAAATTGAATTTCAAATCTCAAGGAAACTGATGATCTTAAAACTGTGTTTCTGAGATTTTATAATGATTTTTCTTGTATATGCCAAAGTCAGACTAGGATAAACCCAAACGGCTCACACTGAGAGATAAACACACGTTAATTAGTGGATGGAAGTTCTAGTCCCTGAACACCAGTGCATCTGCTAACATGTTCTTTAATGTAGTGAACAAAAAGCCTCCAACCCTCCCGCAAAATCAATACAAGAAATTACTTTCCACAATTGTTGACTCACCTCCTGGTTGAAGTAGCCCCCATCCTGTAGCCCAGCAAGTCAAATTGTGAAGGCTTACGTTAGCAGGTACAAGGCAGATGGGGATTACAGAGTCAGAAAACTCAATCCGGCTTTTCAGTTGCACCAGAGCAATGTCGCTTCCAACAGGGTGATATAATCTGTAGGTCGGGTGAATGATCAGCCTATTCACCTCAAACCACTGAGTGTGTTGGCTTGCAACGCTGAGATTAAAGAGACCCACGTACAAATCAAATCCAGAGACTTTCAATCTCCTGTGGGACAGAAAACAGAGTACAGTTCTTCCAGACCTCTGCGTCTGGGGATCCTACCAGCACCCAGTAAATTCAGCATCCAGGAAGGCCTGTTTTGTCCTAGGCAGCCAGATTCACTCAGCTTGGCACAATTCTCTTAGTTTCTTAGGTAAGTCTGTGAGGAATCTGAATGGTACAAATAGTTAATAGGCTAATACTATTCCCAAAAGGCTGGTAGTTTGAACCCACCAGGAAGTGCCTGAGAAGAAAGGCCTGGAGATGTTTTCAAAAGGTCACATCCTTGAAAACCTTTGGCAGCAGTTGTCTATACACACGAGATTTCATGAGTGGCAATTGAATGGAAGGGAACCAACAGTAACTACAGTCAAAAGGGGCAGACTGCCTTAGGGAGCAATCCAACCTGGTGGCGGTGGAGACAAAGCAGGCAGGCCTATGGCCTGCACCTCCCTTTTTCACATTTCACTCACCTCTGATGTCCTACCCTTCATCTACCCACACTGTCCATCCCGACCACCAGCCCAGGTCTTGCCCTCGGGTACTTACTCGAAGCAGTGGGCTGCCGACAGAACCCAGTACTCGCTGATAATCGACCCACCACAGACGTGTACTCCGCCATAATGCAAACTGACCTGCCATGGCCACTTCTTCTCGCGGGGAGGCATGCCTCCTATGATTCTCCCTTGGGTAGGAAGTCGACCGCAGGCTGAGGGGAGAAGGACAGGGACAGGATACAAGTAAGGCACAGGCTGAAAGGTAAGGCCAGCGAGAAATCGGCGGCAGAGGCAAGAAAGCAAGAAAAAACAGGGCCCTGAAAGAGGAAGAGAAAGGAACTGGGCTCCAGGTTTGATTCTCGTGAAAGAATTAAGGGTTTGGAGGAACTGGCACAGCCCTGGCAGCTGGGAGGCGCCAACAGGATCTGAGGGGGCAACACACCCTCACGGTTGGTCCTGGAGGCCGTATTACCTGGGGGTTGTACTTTCAGGGGTCTGGGTGTGGTCCACGTGCCTCCCAAGGGCGGGAGCAGCAGCAGTAAGAGCAGTAGGACTGAGCATTTCAAGATGCTGGACTCTCCAGTGTGTACGTTGGAAGATGGAGAAGCCATGAGGCTGAGCTGAGGCGCTACCACTGGTTGTGTAGACTTCCAGATGCATGTCACGTGACTCCCAGGAGGCCTCGGTCCGTGCCCGCCTCCCTGGGGCTAAGCACGTGATAGCGCCCCAGACCAGTCATTTCACCTCTCCCTCTCCCTCTCCCTCCCCCTTTTACTCCTTTCCTCTTTTTTACACACACACACACACACACACACACCCCTAGATCCAAGATCCAGCAAAGCTACTTTTACATATGTTGTTGTTAGGTGCCTTTGAGTCAACTCATAGCGACCCTGTGAACAAAAGATCTGAACCCAGTCCTGTCCTGCATCATCCTCACATTTCCTGATACACAAGAGCCCATTGCAGCAGTCACCATGTCAGTCCACCTGGTTGAGAGTCTTCCTCTCCTTCACCAACCCTCCACCATTCCCAACATCATGTTTGTCTCCAAGGAATAGCACCTCCTATCAACATGACCAAAGTATGTGAGGGAAAGCCTCATCATTGTTGCCTTCAAAGAATGCTCTGGCTGCACCCTCTCCAAGACATATCTGTTCGTTTTCTTGGCCGTCCATGGAATGTTCAGTGCTCTTCTCCAACCCCACAGCTCAAAGGCATGGATTCTTTTTCTGTCATCCTTATTCATTGTTCAGATCTCAGATGGATTGCTAGTAATTGGAAAGACCATGGCCTGAATCAGATGCACCTTAGTCCTCAAAGTGACATCACTACTCCTCAATAATTTGTAAAGGTCTCTAACTGCAGATTTTCCCACTGCACTGCATCTCCTTATGCTCGTATGAAGTGTGTTAATTGTGGGTCCAAGCAAGATGAAGCTGTTGACAGTTTTAATCTCCTCTCCATCCGTCATGACACTTACTGGTCCAGTGATAAGAATTTTTGTTTTCTTGATATTGAGACCCTATCCATGCTGAAGGCTGCATTCCTTGATCTTCAGCAAGAAGTGCCTCAAGTCCTCCTCACATTCAGCAACCAGGGTTGTGTTATTTTCATAACACAGGTTATTGAAGAGTCTCCCTCCAATCTTGATATCACACTCCACTGCATAGAGTTCAGGTTCTTGAATAATTTGCTCAGCATATAGTTTACATAGGTATGGAGACAGAATACAGCCCTGAAGTACTCCCTTCTCAATTCCAAAACATGCAGTGCTCCGCTGCTCCAGTAGCACAACAGCCTCCAGGTCTAGGTATAGGTTCCTCATGAGCACAATCAAATGCTCTGAATTCCTGCTCTTCTCAATGCCAGCCACAGCTTGTCATGATCCACACAGTCAATTGCCTTTGCATAGTCAATAAAGTACAAATAGACATTCTTCTCGTATTCCTTACTTTCAGCCAGGATCCATCTGATATCAGCATTGATATCCCTGGTGCCATAGCCTCTTCTAACTCCTGCTTGAACTTTTGGCAATTCTCTATCTATGTACTGTTCCAGCCATTTTTGGATGATCTTCACCAGTATTTTGCTAGCATGTGATATCAATGATATTCAATAATTTCCACATTCAATTGGATCACCCTTCTTGGGAACAGGAAGATAGACCTCTTCCAATCCGTTGGCCAGTTAGGTGTCCTCCAAATTTTCTGGCATAGACTGGTGAGTGCATCTAAGGCTACATCTGTTAACTGAAATAAGTCAATTTGGTATCCCACTGATTCCTGGGGCCTTATTATTTTGCCAGTGCCTTCAACACAGCTTCCATTTCCTTTTTCATTACCATAAAAAGAGGCTCCTTTTCATATGGTACGTCCTGAAATTTTTCGGTGTCAATCAATCCTTTCTGGAACAGTGATTTTGTGTGTTCCCTCCATCTTCTTTTGTTGTTTTCTGGGTCATTCACTACATTGCCCATAGCATCTTTCAACATTGCTACACAAGGCCTAAATTTATTTTTCAGTTCCTTCAGCTTGAGAAATGTAGAGTGAATTCTTCCCTTTTTATTCTCAATTCCAGCTCTCTGTCCATTCCATTATAATACTTTGCTTTTTCCTCCCGAGCTGCCCTTTGAAACCATCTGTTCAGCTCTTCTACTTCAACATGTTTTCCTTTAGATTTGGCTTCCAACATTCCAGTTAACATCTTTAGAATTTTTAGAGTCTCTTCTGACATCCATTTTAGTTTTCTCTTTCTCTTCTGTTTTTGTAATGACCCTTTGCTTTCTTCATGGATGATATCCTTGGTATCATCCCACAACTCATCTGCTCTTCTGTCATTGGTGCTCAATGCTGCAAACCTATTCTTCAGATCATGAAATTCTAGTGGAATTGATTCAAGATCATATCTTGGTTCCTGTGGACTTATTTTAATTTTCTTCTGCCTCAGTTTGAACATGCATATGAGTAATTGATGATCTGACCCATAGTCTGTCCTTGGCCTAGTTTTGACTGTTGATACTGAGTTTCTCCAACAATTTTTCCCCCACAAATATAGTCAATCTGATTCTTATGCAGCCCATTGGGTGAAATCCATGTGTAAAGTTGTCTTTTGTGTCTTTTAGAAAAGGTATTTGCGGTTTTGTGGGCCAGGGTGGGCTCAGCTGCTTCCTGGCACGTAGGGGGGAGGACTGGGTGATGCGCGCCATGGGGAAGGTGGCAGACCTGCTGTCACAGGATGCCAACATCGTGTGCCATTGCCAGGGAGGAAATAATGTTGGCTGTGCAAGGAACTGAAGGACAAATTCAAACCTCAGTTGCTATAATCAAGGATGCTTTAGGCAGAATATTAAATGATCCAAGAAGTATTAAAAGAAGACGGAAAGAATACACTGAGTCACTATATTGAAAGGAATTGGCAGACACAAAAGAATTTCATGAAACAACATATGAGCAGGAGGCTATGGTGATGAGGGAGGAAGTTCAAGCTGCTTTGAAGGAAATGGCAAAAAATAAGGCCCCAGGAATAGAAGTATACCAATTGACATGTTTCAGCTAACTGATGCTGCCCTGGATGTGCTCACCAAGTTGTGCCAAGAAATCTGGAGAACAACCACTTGGCCAACTGACAGGAAGAAATCAATATTTGTTCCCATCCCAAAGAAAGGTGACCCAACAGAGTGTGGAAACTATAGAACAATCTCATAGATTTCACATGCAAGCAAGATTCTACTGCAGATTATCCAAAAATTACTGGAACCACACATCAGCAGAAAACTGCCAGAAGTCCAGGCTGGGTTTAGAAGGGGTCGTGGTACTAGGGATATTGTAGCTAATTTTAGATGGATCTTGGCTGAAAGCAGAGAGTACAAAAGGAAGGTATATCTGTGTTTCATTGACTATGCAAAGGTGTTTGACTGTGTGGATCATAACAAACTGTGGCTGACTTTGAGAAGAATGGGAATCCCAGAACACTTGATCATGCTAGTACAAAACCTATACTTGGACCAAGAGGCAGTCATCAGAACAGAGCAAGGAAACACTGCATGGTTCAAAATTGGGAAGGGCATATGCCCAGGATGTATCCTGTCTCCATACCTTTTCAACCTGTATGCAGAACAGATCATCCGGGAGTCTGGGCTCTATGAGGAGAAATGCAGCATCAGGATTGGTGGAAGTTCTATCAACAATCTGTGTTATGCAGATGACACAACCCTGCTTGCTGGGACTGAGGAGGACCTGAAGCGCTTGCTGCAGAGGGTCAAGGACTGTAGCCTTCAATATGCACTGAGGCTCAATGTCAAGAATACAAAAAATCTCACCACTGGACCTTCAGTATGGATAGTGAAGATATTGAGATTGTACACAGCTTTAGTCTTCTTGGCTCCACAATCAACACTCTTGGCACCAGCAGCCAGGAAATTGCGATGGTAAAGTCTGCTGTTAAGGACCTCTCTAAAGTACTGAAGAACAATGGTGTCTCTCTGGAGACTAAGGTGCATCTAATACAGGCCACGGTCTTTGCAATCACTAATTATGCATCAGAGAGCTGGACAATCATGAGGGAAGATAGAAGGAGAATTGATGTTTTTGAGCTTCGGTGTTGGAGAAGAGTATTGAAGGTACCATGGACTGCTAAGAAAATAGATTCACCCTGGAAAGGGTAAACTTGGTGGCTCCTTGGAGGCAAGGATTCTGAGGCTTTGTCTGACATACTTTGGTCATGTTTTAAGGAGAGACCGGCCCTTGGAGAAGGACATCATCCTTGGGAGGGTGGAGGGCAGGCGCAGGAGGGGACTGCCATCTAGGAGGTGGATTGATTCGGTGACTGAGGTAATTGGGATGGGTGTATTGGAGACAGTGCAATTGGTACAGGACAGAGCAGAGTTTACGGCTGTTGTACATAGTGTCGCTATGAGTCTCAAGGGACTCGATGGCACATAACAACAACCTACATTTGCAAATTCTGGAGAATAAGATTTTCATATTTTACCCAGTGGCATAATTAATCCAAACATTACCACATTCATTGGAAATGGAGTGGTGACTCATCTACCTGGATTGTTTAAGGAAGTCGAGAAAAATGTCTAAAAAAGGAAAAGGTCTAGAAGGCTAGGGAAAGAGACTTGTCATATCGGACAGAGTTCATACTGTATTTGATTTTCATCATGCAGCTGATGGGATCCAGGACCAACAGAGACAAGAGCAAGCAGGGAAAAATTTGGGTACCACCAAAAAAGGCATTGGCCCCGTGTTTTCTTCCACAGCTGTTCAGACTGGCTTCGAATGTGTAACCTTGTCTCTGATTTTGATGGCTTCTCTGAGAGACTCAGAGTTCTGGTTAATCAGTAATATACTCTACTTTGGAGATAGACATTGATGGTGAACTGCAAAAACTCAGGGTTATATGGAAAGAATTAAGTCAATGGTGAGAGATGGTGTTTACTTTCTATATAAGGCCCTGCATGGACCACCAAAGAAAATCTTGGTAGAAGGTGCAAATGCAGCTCTGCTGGATATTGATATTGGGACTTACCCTTTTGTAACCTCCTCGAATTGCACTGGTGGAGGCGTCTGCCCTGGTTTGGGGATAACCTCTTCGAATTGCACTGGTGGAGGCATCCGCACTGGTTTGGGGATGCCCCCTCAAAATGTGGGGGA